TGCAATAGGTTGTTTGATTTATTGTCTGCTGCTTCAGTGAGCATAGATTTTATATCCAAGTAAAATGAAACCCTTGTCAACTTCAGTCTTTTTTCCATGTATCATAATGTTGTTTATTGGTGCATGTATGAGGATTTTTGTTTTCTTTACATTGAGTTGTAATCCATACTGAAGGCTGAGTTCTTGGATCTTCAACAATAAGTGCTTCAAGTCCTCTTCACTTTCAGTAAATAAACAAGGTTGTGTCATCTGCATATCACAGGTTGTTACTGAGCCTTCCTCTGATACTGATGCCTTGTTCTTTATGTAGTCCAGCTTTTTGGATTATTTGCTCAGCATACAGATTGAATAAGTACGGTCAAAAGTTACAACCCTGATGCACACCTTTACTGATTTTCAACCATTCAGTATTCCCTTGTTCTGTTTGAACAACTGTCTCTGGGTCTAGGCACGGGCTCTTTGTGAGCACAATTTAAGTGTTCTACAATTCCCATTCTTCGCAATGTTACCCATAATTTGTTATAATCTACATAGTCAAATGTCTTTGCATAGTCAATAAAACACAAGTAAACATCTTTCTGATAATTCTCTGCTTTTAGCCAAGATCCTTATGTCTTCAGCAGTGATATCCCTCATTTCATGTCCTCTTCTGAAATCCGACATGAATTTCTCACAACATCATATCAATGTGCTGCTGCAACCATTAAAAATTTATCTTCAACAAAATTTTATTAGTGTGTTATATTTATATTGTTTGTTGATTTCTGCCTTCTTTTGGATCATCTTTCTTTAGACTGAACCCAAATATGAATCTCTTCCAGTCAGTTGGTCAGGTAGTTGTCTCCAAATTGCTTGTGTATGTTTGTTGAAACATTTTAATTGGTATTCCATCAGTTCTTGGAGTCTTGTTTTTCACTAATGCCTTCAGTACAGCTTGGACTTCTTCCTTCAGTACCATTGGTTCCTAATCATATATCACCTTCTGAAATGGTTCAACTTGTTTATGGTACAATAACTCTGTGTATTCCTTCCATCTTCTTTTGATGCTTCCTGCATCATTCAGTATTTTGCTCCTAGAATCTTTCAACATTTCAAGTCAAGGTGTGAAGTTTTCTTCAGATCTTTCCATGTAAGAAATGCTGAGTGTGTTCTTCCCTTTTTGGTTTTCTAACTACAGGTCTTTGCACATATCATTATAATACTTTGACTTCTTTGAGCTGACCTTAGAATTTTTTTGTTCAGTTCTTCCATTCTCTTTAACTGCTGTATGTTCAAGAGCAAGTTTCAGGGTCTCTGACATACACTTTGGTCTTATCTTTTCAAAAAATGACCTTTTGCTTTCTTTATGTATGATGTTCTTGATGACATTTTGTAACTCCTCTGGTCCTGGATCATCAGTGTCCAATGCATTAAATTTGTTTGAGGTGGTCTCTAATTTCAGATAGGATATGTTGTTGTTGTTTGTTAAGTGCCTTTGAGTCAGTTCTGACTCATAATAATCCTGTACAGGGTTTCCAAGGAGCCAGCTGGTGGAGTTGAACCACCAACCTTGTGGTTAGCAATCTAGTGTTGATTATACAACACCACACTAGGGCTCTCAGATAGGATATGTTGTTAAGTGCCATTGAGTCGATTCTGACTCATAGTGACATTATGCACAACAGACCGAAACATTGCCCAGTCCTGCACCATTCTCACAATTGTTGTTAAGCTTGAGCCTGTTGCTGCTGCTACCTAAGATAGGATATACTCAAGGTCATATTTTGGCTCTTGTGGACTTGTTTTAATTTTCTTCAACTTCAACCTGAACTTGCATTTGAGCACCTTGATGGGGGGTGGGGGTGGGGAGATGTTTGATAGTCAACTCATGGCCTTGTTTTGAATTATGATATTGAGCTTCTCTATTTTCTCACCTATGTAGTCAATTTGATGACTGTGTATTCCATCTGGGAAAGTCCACATATATATGTTTTTGAAAAAAGGTATTTACCTTTTTTGTTTTTGAGAAAAGGTATTTGCAAATAATAAGTCATTGGTCTTGCAAAATTCTGTCATGCGATTGCCATCCATATTTCTATCATCAAGGTCGTATTTTCCAACTACCAATATCTCAACTTTGTTTCCAACTTTTTCATTGATTGCATGTTTGATCAGTTTCAGACTGAAGAAGTAGGTTATTTTTGTTAAGTGCCATTGAGTTAATTCTGATTCATAGTGAGGATATCCTGTACAGGGTTTCCAAGGACTGCTGATGGGTTTGAACTGCTGATCTTGCAGTTAGCAGTCCACAGTGCCACATCAGGACTCCAAAGAAATAGGTAGACTTCTTTAATTTCTTCATCATTTGCTTTAGTGCTTGGTACATAAATTTGTATAATAGTTGTATTAGTAGCTGGTCTTTTTTGTAGACATACAGATATCCTATCATAGACAGTATTGTATTTCAAGATCTTGAAATGTTCTTTTTGACAAAAAATGTGATGCTATGCCTCATCCGTTTTGATGTTCCCGTCATACTAAACCTATGATTGATTTAGAATATGACCAATATCTGTCCATTTCATCTGACTAATGCCTAGGACATCCATCTTTATGCATTCCATTTCATTTTTGGCAACTTCTAATTTTGCTAGAGTCATACTTGGTACATTTCACATTCTGATTATTAATGGATGTTTCCAGCTGTTTCTTCTTAAGTTGTGCATCATCAGCAAGTGAAGATTTCGAAAACTTTGCTTCATATAGGTCATTAAGGCTTTGTGGAGGCAGCTCTTCCCTAGTCATATTCTGAATGCCTTCCAACCTGAGGTGTTCACCTTCCAGCACTAAATCAGATACTGTTTCACTGATAAGTTTTTTTTTTTTTTTTTTTGGCACTAATCCTTCACCTAGCCTATTCTTAATCTGGAAGGTTTGCTGAAACCTTGCCACAGTGGGTGACCCTGTGAGGATTTGATATATCAATGGCATAGCATCCAGCATCCCAGCAACATAAAAGCCACAGTAGGACAAAGTGACAGACATGTGGAGCTTTTGTGCTTAATGCTGAGGAAATGCCACCTTCCTCTTTTCTCTTTCTGTTTCCTTGGATAAGATATACAGCTAAGCTTTCCAGTAATCAGAAGAAGACAACTTCTGGAGACTTTTAGACTTAACCTAGAAAATGGTTATTGCAGCTCATTCTTTTATCTGCTGTATCCTTTTTTGTTCATGGACAAGTGATTTTTTAAGACTAAATAAACTGTTAACAAGAGCCTGACAATAATCTTTATATTGCTGTATTTTGATTTAGTTGAGCTGTTTAAGGTATGTTAGTTTAGATTGTTTTCCTTAAGCAAAACCAAACTAGATCTGTTCTGCATATTAGGTTAGGCCACAAGCTGCACTTCCATTTGGGCTCAAACGATTCAGAATAGTTTGTAGATGGTGATTTCCTGCAGGCTGGAGTGAAATGTGGTGGAACAGTTCTCCTTCATTTAGTCTGCTATTTTCAAAATGTATTAGAATCTAAAATCACGCAAAGAACACCTTAGGTTAAAACTTCCCTATATGAAGGCTCTTCAGAATATAATTTTAATACTCTGAACACATTTTAATTTTTTTAATGTATCTTATGAATGAAATTTATTAGGCATAAATATTAAAGATACCCAATAAAATGACATTGCAATTGCAGTCACCTTTTGATTTTTTTTTTTTCCGGGAAAGTAGTTCTATTTGTAGACTGAGAATTCTTTTATTATTATTATTTTTCATTTGTTTATCTGGTACTTATTTTTTTTAGACTGAGAATTCTTAATAGTGTTCTTCCTCTGGAAAAAAAAACAGTCTCTCTATATTTGTAATACAGTAAGCATAGGGGGTGAGGAGCTCTGGTAGCAGAGTGGTTATAAGTCAGGCTTCTAACCTCAAAGTCAGCAGTTTAAAACTACCAACTATTTTGTGGGAGAAAGATGAGACTTTCTGCTCCCGTAAAGGTTTACAGCCTCGGAAACCCTATGCAAGGTCACTATGAGTCGGAACCAACTCCAAGACACACCACCACCACCAAGCATAAGGGATGGAAGGCAGATGATAAAGCCAAATCATTTGACTCTATTCCTTTTGAATTTAACTTTTTAGTTTATTTGAAAGAAAGACATTCTGAAGTAATTAAACACATACCTTATAGAATACTAGTGAAAGGGATACAGTATTACTTATTTAAATTAATTTATTATTTCAAGTCATTATTATTATTGAAAAGAATGACTTTATTGTGAGAAATATCTGTAACTTTCATTCTCGGCACATCATTCTCCCATTCTCTGACCTTTTGGTTCATTGTTACCACCAGGGCTCCTCCTTTCCTCAAACTATGGCAGGAATCAAGACTGTGGTGTTAAGGTTATAATGTAATTGTATGTATCATCTTGCTGTTCTGTGTTTTTATTTTTAGGACCGGAGTAGGCCCTATGACACTTTTAACTTGCACTCGTTGGAGAACTCTCTAATGGATATGATAAGGACTGATCATGAGCCTCTCAAAGGTAAACACTACCCTCCCAGTGGCCCACCAATGAGTTTCGCTGATATAATGTGGAGGAATCATTTTGCAGGTTAGGAATATTCATATGTCCATTCCTTGCTTGGTGTTTTAAACAAAAATCAGCTTTTTAATAATTATGATTTTGTTTGTTTTGTGTGTGTTTTGTATTGTTTTTCTTTGCTTTTATAAAGCATTGTGGAATGTATTTAAAGTCGATTTTTTTAAACTGGTTTCAGTTACCTAAAATAATCTTAAGTTGATTGCTTTCATTTATAATGTCTCACAGAAGTATGTGTGTGTGTTGGGGGAGGGGTACCTTGAGGTTAAGGTTACAAATTTAAGGATTATCTCAGGCAAGAGTTTGAGGAGTTCACCCAGTCTTCATAGCTCCAGAAAGTCTAGAGTCTATGAGAATTTGAAATTCTGTTCTGCATATTATTACTGTAGGTCAGGATTCTTCTAGAGTCTTTGATGAACATGTTCAGTAATGGTAACCCAGTACCGCCTAGTTCTTTGACCTCATGGCAGAGGAGGCAGTTGTTCATGGAAGCAATTAGCCACACATTCCATGTCCTACAAGGAAACAATTTTAAAATGTATAAATGGTGGTGGTGGTTACGTGCCATGGAGTCAGTTCTGACTCATAGCGACCTGGTGTAGGGTTTCCCAGGCTGTAAATCTTTACGGGAGCAGAAAACCTTATTTTTCTCCAGTGCAGTGGCTGGTAGTTTCAAATTGCTGACCTTGAGGTTAGCAGTCCAACTTGTAACCACTATGCTACCAGAACTCCTAAAAATGTATAAACGTTTGGGATTAAATATAAGGCAGAAAAGTCACAAAGTCAGCAATATTAGGACTTCTGATTTTTAGAGTTCATGTAAATAGGATCCATGCTGATGTTGCAGCCATCATTTTAGGTAGTTCTTTTTATATACTTCAGGATTGTTGTTAAGTGCTGTCAAGTCAATTCAGACTCATAGCGACCCTGTAGAGGGTTTCTAAAGAGCAGTTCAAAGTTGAGTTTGAACCATCAACTTTGTGGCTCAAACTGACCTTGCAGTCCAGTGCTTATCTTACAGCATCACACTAGGACTCCTAGAGGTTAGGAAAAAATAAATGACCATAGCAGAGAAATGCAGCGTTATTATTACATGTTTAAGTATCCTTTAAGAATTTATAGATATGTGGCACTGTGGGCTAATGCGTCAGACTGCAAAGTCATTTGAACTGCGAAGTCAGTGGTTCAAGCTCACCAGCTGCTCCTTGGAAACCCTATACAAGGTCGCTATGGGTCAGAATCGACTCAACGGCACTTAACAACAACAACTATAAACACATTAATAGATTAAGTTTGTAGTATTTGTAAAGAAGCTTGGTAGTGTAATGGTTAAGTACTTGGCTGCTTACTGAAAGGTGATGGTAGTGGTTATGTGTCCGGGAGTCGGTTCTGACTCATAGCAACCCTGCATAGGGTTTCTAAGGCTGTAAATCTTTACGGGAGAAGAAAGCCTCATCTTTCACCCATGGAACAGCTGGTAGTTTCCAACTGTTGACCTTGAGATTAGCAGCCCAACTTGTAACTGCTATGCTACCTACCAGAGCTCTTTAACTGAAAGGTAGGTAGGATTATGTAGGGACCCTTTAATAGTTTCAACTACTATATTGGAAATTATCTGTGGAAATATCTATTCTACTTGGGTTTAGGGTCTAAATGGCTTAAAACTGTCCAGAGTTACTCACAGGAATGCCTGTGCTATATGGGCTTGTGTCCTCTGGAGCTGTGAGGAATTTGAGTCACTGTGGTTCTTTCCAGGCCTTAATATAGGGTGTGACTAACTGGGAACACCTGACGTTCATTTCCTCCTGCCACACCAGAAATTCATTTCATTATATTCTTGTCACACTTATGATTTTCTACTGCTTTCCTCAATTTCCATTGGAAAGAAAGTAGTTAACAAATTATTGAGAAAATAAAGGATTTGGGAGCAAGCTATTCTATTAAAGCCTTCAGAAATAGAAAAATTTCTCATTTATTCATTCCTATATTTAGTCAGTATTACCATCTTTTTTCAGGTAAAAGATTAGGGTACACGGTAATTTAAAGCATATTGCACTTGGAAGTGAGAACAGTGTTAAGAAACCCCAGCAGTATTCGCAAACTGTTGCGTTTTAACTATCTTCTAAGATTAATTTGTCTTCTTTTTCCACCACAAATAGCTATATGCCTTTCTTAATTATTCTAAAATATTCAGGCCCCATTCTTTGTACATACCTGTTTTCTCTTAGTCTATCATTCTTTTTTTTTTTTTTTCTAGAATGAAGGATATTATAGTTTGTAAAATAATTATCCTAAATTGTGTGCATATTGCTTAAGCAGGAGCTGCTGTGCCTGGTTGAGAGTAGCATTAGCAGTGTCAGGAAGGTACCTCACATCGTATTACACTTTATTGCATGTCCATCTTTATTGCATGTCCATCCGCCTCTGCATAGATTTCTTTAACATACTTAAAAATATTGTCTCTATAAGAATAGCTTGCTGGGCAATACTTATAATAGATCCTAATAAGTTGGTGGACAGGTTTCAGCAGAGCATTGAGACTAAGAATAGACTAGAAAGACTAAATAGGTGCTCCTCATCTGAGGTATTAGCCCTTAAAAGCTTTAGGAACAGCAGTGAAATATTGATATTGTGCCTAAAGATTAGCTCCTTAGGTTGAAAGGCACTCACAATACAACTGGGGAAGAGTTAACTTCTCAAAGTACAGTTGACCTAAGGATGTGGGTGGAGCAGAGTTTTCAGGACCTTCATTTGCTGATTGTGCACAACTCAGAATGAAAAGAAACAACTGTAAACATCCATTAATAATCAGAATGTGGAATGTAAGAAGTATGAATCTAGAAAAATTAGAAGTCATCAAAAGTGAAACAGAATGTAGGAAGATAAGTATTCTAGGCATATGTGAGCTGAAATGGGCTGATATTGACTAGTTTGAATCTTGGAAACATGTATATGTTTTGCTATGCTGGGATTGACAAATAGAAGAGAAATGGCACAAGATTCATTCTCCAAAAAAAGTAGTATTTGAAGATCTATCTTGAGGTGCAATGCTGTTTGTGATAGGATAATACCCATGTACCTATAAGGAAGACCAGTGAATATGATTATAATTCTAATTCATTCACCAACCACTGAAACCAGTGATGAAGAAATTGGAGAATTCTACCGACTCCTTAAGTGTGACATTGAGCAAACATGCAGTCCATTACAGGTGATTGAAATGTGGAAGCTGGAAATAAAAAGGAAGGATTGATAGTTGGAAAATATGGCCCTGGTGACAGAAATGATGCTGAAGGACACATGATAGAATTTTACAAATACATTTTTCAACAGCATAAATGGCTACCATACATGTGGACCTCACCAGATGGAATACATAGGAATCTAATTGATTACATCTATGGAAAGAGATGATGGAAAAGCTCAATATCATCAACCAAAACAAGACTGAGAGCTGACTATGAAACAGATCATCAATTTCTCATGTGCAAGTTCAGGTTGAAACTAAAGAAAACTAAAACAAATCCACACACACACACACACAAAATACAAATGTGAGTATATTCCACCTGAATTTAGAGACCATCTCAACAACTAATTTAATGCATCGGACACTGATGACCCTAAGAACAAAGGAGTTGTGGGATGACATAAAAATGTTATTCATGAAGAAGGCAAAAGGCCATTACAAAGACAAGAAAGAAAAGATCAAAGTGGATGTGAGAAGATTCGATTGTTATTGAACATAGAATATCTAAAGCAAATGGAAGACATAATGACATAAAGAACTGAACAGAAAATGTCAAAGGACAGCTGGAGAAGACAAAGTCAAGTATTATAATGAAATGTGCAAAGACCTAGAGTTAGAAAACCAAGAAAGGAAGAGCATATACAAGCTTAAAGAAATAAAAAAAATGCAATATGAAGGACTCTATGGGCCGAATAGTGAACAATGTAGGAAGTACCAAAAGAATATGGAAGGAATATGCAGAGTAACTGTACCAAGAAGAAATGGTCAGTATTCAGTCATTTCAAGGGGTAGCATATGGTCAACAACTGATGGTATTGAAGAAGGAAACCCAAACTTCACTGAAGACATTGGTGGAAAACAAGGCTCCAGGAATTGATGGAATGCAAACTGAAATGTTTCAACAAATTGATGTAGCACTGGAGGTGCTCACTTGTCTATGCTAGGAAATTTGGAAGACAGGTACCTGGCCAACAGATTAGAAGAGTGTCATATTTGTCCCTGTCTTAGTATTTTATAACAGAAATATCCCAAGTGGATGGCTTTAATAAACAAAAATTTCATCTCTCATAGTTTAGGAGGCTAGAGTACTTATGCAGAGTTTCACTTCTGGGGAAAGGTCCTTGTTTCCTTTCAGCTTCTGTAGGCTCAGCATACTTAGGGATTCCCTGTATCTAGGAACATCACAGTGCAGGTAGCCCAGGACCAAAGGACAAACTGCACCGTGGCTCTTCTTTCTTGGTGTTAGTGGATCCCTCAGACTTCTGCTTGCCTTTTTTTTTTTTTCTTGTAAAGGTTTTATTTGTGGGGAGGGTTGGGGCACAGTGGACAGGGACCTGCTCAGTCCTTCTTGGCAGCCACTTTCCTCATGGCAGCCAGGACGTTGCTGAGCTCCTCTCTCTTCCTCTTTGCGCAGATGTGTGTCCCCACCTTTTTCTTTGTGAACTTGACTGCCCACTTGTCCTAGGAGACCTTGAGCAGTTCCATGCGCAAAGCCACACACCTCTTAGATCATGTCCTGCAAGAACTTGATGTGCTTGATGAGGCTTCCATGGCGGTGGCTGTGTGCTTGCTCACATTCTTGGTTACTTTGTGGCCTTTGTTGAGGCTAACGGCCATAGGGTAGCACACGGTCATGGCTGCTTTTCTTCAGTGACTGCTGCTGCAGAAGGCTTTGCTTGCCTTTTATATCGCA